CAAACCATGATGGAGGCAAGCCAGCTCCTGTAAAGCAAAATCATGTTTTATTCTAATAGGACTTTCAAGCTTTTTCAGACTTTCAAAATGTACTTGACAGAGTCCCTCACAAGAAGATATCAACTTGGTAATTATGGGATGATTATCCATATTTTATGAGTTCAAAAATGTATTTCACTGTTTGTTAAGTATAGAGTTATCCCAGAACTAACATTTGTAAGATAACAAACATCTTGTTTAGTATGCAGTCGATCAATAGGAAACCTCCAGTGCATACAAACCATAATGGAAAGAGTAAGAATAAATTATTAACTTGGCTTATCAGGACAAGAACAGACTGAGAACTTCTCAGTGGAGCTACAGGAATGTGCAGGAGGCAAAGGTAATGGTGCTGGCCACAGCAGAGTTCTTAATTCCAGTGATTCCAGAAAACAACCAGGCAACTCTGTGAAGGGATTCTTAAAAGAAACATCCACAATGACCATAACCATTCTTGTTACCAAACACAAGGTTGTGAACACGAAAACATTTGTGAGATTATTAGTCTTAAGAAATCATTTGAAAGAATGGCTTGTGAATGACCATTATTGCCCATCAGCACTTGTGATCGATCATACTCAATAAGCAAAGGTATTAACGCCTCCTGAGCTATAAGTGAGCTTGGTCTGACATGAGTTATTCCTGAAGTTTACTTACAGTCATATTCTGTACCACTTTTCACCACAGCACTAGCCAGGGAACAGACAGTTAACTGACTTGAAGCAAGAGCATCAAGAGCTCTGGTTAAGATACTTGAGGCCCCCTCTGGTTCTGCATTTCTTGTCATTTTCCTGGGCTTCTGGGAAGCAGGTGACAGACACAGCCATATGACCCTCCTGTGAAGATGGTATGCAGTGCCTACCTGGCCCAGTAGAACTAGATCTAACACACAAGTTCCTGCTACAAAGATCTTGGACACACTTCAGTGTAAACACACTGATCAGGCCTTCATCTGGCGGCTCTCCAGACTACAATCCAATGAAACATCCAATGCATCTTCCAAAACTCATGTGGCCTATGCCTTTAGTCTTTGACTACGGTCCACAATTGTATTATTGCAAAAGGAAGTCTTGTGGACTATGGTCCACAATTGTATTATTGCAAAAGGAACTTCAGGAGTAATTGGCAACGATGGCTAAGAACTTCAGTCATAAAATGGGCTATGGTCTGTTTTGGCTTCTTATTTCAGCATCTTTTCTTTTCATTGGATAGGCTACAGTTGATACATATCTTTCAGCTGCAGATGCCTCAGTTGCACAGGCCACAACAAGCCCTGGTCTGCCTGGCTGGCTGGCAGCCCAGTTCCTGCCCAAACCCACTCAGGGGTCAGGCTGCAAGTAAAGCTGCAGAGATTAAGGCTATACACTGATGCTTAACATGCAGTATTCACAGTTGCTTTCTTTCTGAAATGATATGACACTCAGCTGACAGGAGAGAGGTGGAGATCCCCGTGCTTACGATGTTTTACGTGTTTTGCTTTAAACTGTCTAAGGAAATGTCCTGGAGACAATAGTATTAGGCTCAACTCTGAAGAAAAAAAGGGTAGTTCGCTCCTTTTCTATAGACCAGTGACCAGAACATTCACCCTGAGCAAAGGTATGTTTATCTGTACCATGTTCACAGAAGAGATCTGAAGCAAATTATTCCACCTCTGCAAGGCTCAAACTTCTAAGTGAAAAGCTTAGGCAGCCACTGGCAGGCATTCAAACACCATCAGGAGAAGACACTGGGAAAGTCCCACTCCACAATATCCTGTAGTATAGGGAGTTTTCAGGGAGTCTTCTTAGAAGGTAAAGATGTTCAAATCACCTTAGAATAAAGATAGCAATGAAAGTAGACATCCCTGTCCTGCATGACTCTATGGAGTAAAAGAGAAATCTTTCTTTAGCTTCATAGATGGTGCCTCCATGTTGATTGCTTTACTTTTGCAGATAGTAATTGGTGACTTGATATTGCTATATAAATATACAACAGCACTTACCAGCCCACTCCATTACTGCTTTCATATGAAGAGAAAAAGCACCTCAATACTTTGTCCCTTGGCATCAAGGAGCAACAGATGTTTCTACAAAGCTGTGGCTGTTTGAAAAAAATACATGAGAAGGAGGCACAAACTAACTGAAGATACACAAGAGAATTTTCCATGCAGAAAATGTTGTTTATTCGCTTTTTACTATGACAATTAATAAACTGTTTACATTCTAGTTTTTTTATTTTTATGATTCAAGTCTGTAAAATATCATTAGATTTATTGCTTTTTACTTTCTTGGAGTCGTTCTACGTAAAAATTAGGCTCTTAAGCCTTCAGACTTACACTAGCACTGATATTTTAATCTATTTCTCCCAGAAATAGCTTAACTTACTTTGCTTATCTTACACAAACAGCATGCTGACATATATTCCCTAGAGAATGTTTCATGATACTCTGTGGATGTAATTTCCTATCACTCCTCTCCATAACCTGCCTTCCAAAACATTTCTTCCTTTTTTTGATGGCAAATACTTTTCGCCCCTGTACACAATTGTATTCTGTCTACTTACCTTTCCATCTTTAAAGATGTTATTTCTAATGTGTCTTTTTCCCTAGTGTTCAGGAGTAACCAGTCGACAGACACTCCACCAAAGCTGTTTCGTTTTTGCCATTTAGATGCAGATCCTAGTAAATCTGATGAGATCTCTTTGGCTGATTGCAGCAGAGACAGTACTGCCTCCTGACTAACAGAGACACAGATGAACAAGCGGGAGTTAAGGAACTGAATATAAGCAGTTAGATGCAAATACAGAGTTCACTTTTCTCTGCCTCTTCTGGTCTCACGGGTCATTAGGCCCAGAGGTCTTTTCCTTTAAACCAGAGTCTGAGATTTGCAAAGCATTTATCTTGCCAGTGGATAGAAGCTAAATCATCGAGTATCTACTTACATGCTGGCTATCACTGTAAGACACAGTATGAACAAGCTAGTCTCCATATGTACCCTACACAACATGAAACAAGCTTATATAGAAAAATTAAGTACCTAAAAATTAACATCACATCTATTTTTTGCTGACTGAAATGATTTAATGATACTGTCCTTACTGTGACTGGTGAGGTGAACTTGCTCTATACTAAAACAAGGTATGTGTATATGGGGCTGGGAGGGTTAAAGCAGCCTCGCTGCTGTGACCTGGGACCTGAGAGCTAGAGCTGCACTAGGCAGTATTAATGGCAGAGGTTTAAGTGCTATTAGTTTCCTCAGTAAATCCATGACATGTCATGGGTCATCAAAGAGCATATTGCTCATTATTCTAAATTTCTTTTAGTTACTTAACAACTATACACAGAAGCAATTCTATTAAAATGAATCAAAATGTAGTTATTACCATAGGGTCCAGTAAACAGTAGTCTTCAAGAGTTTTATAGTGTCACATAAAGCAGTGACACTGCTCCACATAAAGCACTTCCCCCCCCCTTTTTTTTTTTTTTGGTAATGTGTGGCATTATTGGCTTTGGAGGCACTTCCCAGTGGTCCATTAAGGTAGAAGGTAGCCCTTAGTGCCGATCTCACTCTTGGGGAATGCAATGGAATGGAGTCACAGCCTCTGGCTGCAGCATATTCTAGTCCAGCCGTAATAATGGTAGTCCTAAAACAAGAGAAATTAAGAAACTGAAAATAAAGTCATTTGGATTCCTCCCTCCAGTCAAGCAGTCATTAGAGCTGGTGTTAGAGCACAGGTGTCCTGCACAAAAGGTTACCCAGATGGTAAGCTGTCTCACGTTGCTGTCCATTTTCCTTCTTACAGCGGGAGATAGGAAGGTCAGTTCTTTTAGGCTCTCCATGCTTGAGCCTTCTGCAGACACAGGGGAGAAAACCTGGATTTATAGCCCTTGTTATTCTCACTTGCAATCAAACGTGGGGCTCAAGTACCCCGTTAATTATCATTTACATGCCTGCCTACACTGAAGGCACCAGTATCTCAAGATTTTTTTAAATGCTAAAAACAGATTGAACAACCGACTGAATTATCTGAAAAATTCCATGAAGGAAATATCTTTAGACATGTTAGTTTTCCATGTTATCAACACATTAAAAAAAACCCAGCCCATAATGATTCCCAGATTTTTTCATACCACAGTTCTGGAACTTCCTGGAAAAGGCAACTCTGAGAAGTCAGTCAACTTCATAGTCCCACTTTCATCTGCCTGTTACAAAGATGAGTTGTGAATTTCCTTTTTCCTGCTTTGCTTTAAGATTACACCATTTACACTCCCCTTGGTTTTCCATATATTATATTAAGTTTTGGGGACAGAGAATCCTTGAGTCAATTACTGCTTCACTGTTTTCAAAATATTAAGGCCAGAATCAGAAGCATCCTTTAATTCCACCTTCCCTAGTACTTATCAATACCTCCAAAATCCTTGCAGTAAAAAACAGAAATAATGGTAGGAGAAAGGATGGCCTTTAAACAGCTACTGTATTTGTTATGTCAGAAGAAAAAGTCTAAGCACGTAAACAACATAAGACTCAGTCAATGGCTCCCAACCTCTAAATAAAGACAGAAGTACACAAGAGCAACACAGCATGGCTCCCAAACTAATCAGCTTTGCCTGACCTATTCTGCCTCCACAGAGCCCAAAGAGATGTGAAATATCACCAGTTTGCAAGCTGGAAGTGATTGAACTACATGATAAGACCTTTGGAGAACCTGATAATGATAAGATATTTTTTGAGAGCATCAAGATTCCCAATCACATATGAGGAGCCCACTGTAGAAACCTTTTTTGTTTGCACAAAACTAGAGACTAGAAAATTTATCTCATCTGGGGAAACGTGTCAGGACAGGGTGTGGGAAGAAATAAACAGCTTAATCTAGCTTTTAGCACCACCGACCTTAGAATGTTATCCATTTGATAGAATTACGACATGGGTGGTTAAAGACTTCTTTACTCTGTCTGCAAAGAGGAAAAGGCACAAAAGTTTAAACAAGTATGCTTTTATTCAGCTTTCAGCTCTTACAGTTCTAAACAGTAAACATAGTTAATGATACATCCATGGTACCAGAGAACATAGAAGTGGTACCAGCAAAACGTCTACTGTTCAAGGCACTGATAGTGGGAAGAAAGAAGAAGAAAAATACATGACCTGGATTACTCCTATTTATTTAGTATTTGAATCTATCATGAATATGTGCTTGCTATTCAACAGCTTAAAACTCCACAAGCTCTGTTCACAAACAAATGTTTATACAACTTCAGTAATTGCTGAAACAGGAATCAGTGGCCACTCTATTTAGACGTGAAGTAAGTATTGCATCATATTGGAATGGAATCAAATTCTAACCTACTCATAAAACAAAACACAAAAGACTTCAGCAGTATGGCTTTAAGACCCTGTGTTTGGTTACAATATAGTAAGCAAAGTTAGATAACAGCATACAAGTGCCATATAACTGTTGTCTTAAAAGGAACAGTTTTACAGTATAAAAATTCATTTAGAACATACTAAGGACAGATTTTGTACAATTTTACAAAACAATTACACACACAAAAAAAATCAAGAACATTTTAAATATGAATCCTTCTTTACATGTTGTATGCATAAAATTACTTGATATAAATTAGGAATATCGCAAACTTTTTAAAGCTCGCATCTATATACCATGGAAACGCACACAGAAATACTGAAGAGTCGGTTCTTCAAAAATCCTTAAGAGTCACATTTGTACTTGCCAAACAGATATACAGTGACATATGTTCATAAAGGAGCCGCAGTGACCTCTCATGGCCACTTAAAAAATCCCCAACCTTTACCTTTTTTAGATTTTGAATGTCACTTTCCTCACAGATGCTAATCAACTCAAAGGTTCAAGAGTGGTGCATGCTTGGTCCCTCTGTCCCAGGAAACTACAATATTTCTGTTTGAAATGAGTATCAAGGAACATAGCCTTCTCTCAGTCTAGCTCCTGGTCATAGAAATAAAGTCACATCTCCTCTCTCAGTTATCAAGAATCTGTTTCAGAATAGTTTAGAGAACTGTTTTCTGAAGTTAGTGAGAGCTATGAATGTTCAATATCAGGCAATCAAGAACTGCAGCTTTTTAGATAATGAGGAATAAAATGTAAATTGATGATGTCTGACTCAAAGCCCAAAACAGAACATAGATAATGTATGAGACATTTTAATTGTGTGTCAAATTCACTGGGATATAAAGCCTAAAAAACATTTTAAAAAGAAACCAAGCTTAACAAAATACATTGAAAAATCAGTTAGGTATCTTCTTCCATTGCTCTGAAAGAGCATAACAAACAGACACAAAACATTATCTTCTATGTCATGAACAGATGAACAGCTTGAGAACAACAGAAAAATCACAGTTAGTGGCTGTCTCTCATCTGCAGTACATTAATCAAAATTTAAATTCTTCTACTGCTTATAAATCCTCCCTGTTATATCCAGCTTTCTTTCCATCGAAGGAATCTTCTGTGTTTGGTGCCAGCCATGTGAAATATACTTTCACTGGATCAATATTCCAATGCTTGTGAAATGATACTGGAATTTGGTGAGAAAGGTAGTCTTTTGGATAGTCCATTGGCCGTGCCTAAGATACAAGGATAAACCAAAAACACAGCTACTCAGTGATGAACAATGATTTTTAGAACAAGAAAGTATCACCATTCAATAGCCTCTGTATCATCAGAAAGCAACGTGGTGTTAACAAAACACACTATATGAAACCCAAACGCCTGCAACTTGGGCTGCAGTCACCACACTACGAAGTACACTAATATTAAGTATGCCTGACTTCTCAGGAAGAAACTGTTATCATCTATAAAAGTATGGGATGAGAAGCAGTACAGTTGATACCACATCAGTACAGTTGATACCACATCCCTTTAAATGCACAGTCATGATTCAGTGATGAGAAAATACTTTCAGGCATTTTCTCTGTTTCTTCTCTTAATGAGAGATGCCAGCACTGCCAGTATGATTGTAGGATCCTGATTAGGCCATAAATAACCACAAAAATATTAAGTTTTATGATGGGAAAAATTACCAAAGCCAGGAGATGTTATTCTGCTGCTAGAAAACTACATTTTACTATTCTTTATCAGGTTATATTAAGAGACCAAATTACAACAAACCCCCATGAGGCATATTTCATTTGCTTTTTGACAATTTAATAGCATGTAAGTACATCATTATATAAAATTAAAGTCCCATCTGTAGTGGTTCCTGGTGAAATAACTAGATTTTGCCATTGTAAATAGAATTCTACTGAAAAGCAAGACAGACATGTACAATCTTATTCAGAAAGCACTTAATATCAGCATTTTAAAAATAATTGAATAAAAGGTACGTTCATTCCTTCCTGATGTAAAATAGTAGAGAAAGAATGGGAGACTGGGATACTGAATCACTGATTTGTCACCTAAGCTAGTAACTGTTTCAATACTGTACATGTCACCTGCTTGTGGCGGTATTACTGCTTCATCCTGCATTCCTCATGCTGTTCTACGTACGCTCCAGTCAGAAAATTAGGCAATACAATTTGACATTAAGAAATCTGCTTATGGAGGTTCTTTGATATATAAACCATGGATATGCTTATCTATCAAAATCCCTTTGCAGAAATCAAGGGAGCCTATCTCCTTTAAGCCTTTTGAAAAAGCTACCTTTGATGAACATTTTGGATTCCATGACCTTAAAAATTTACTGCAATTTACTTTGGATGGAAACAGCTTTTATATTTCTGAGAGCAAAGGTTCTTGCAGTTTGAAAACACAGTCAGCAAACTACTGATACATACATAAAATTTTGGTGTCTTGATAGTTTTTTAAGGCATCAAATCTGCTATAAAAAGTACTATGTTTATTATATTGCTCTCTAAGAATCATACTGCTTTATCAGTGGCTGACCTAAAGATACACACTCTCTCGACTTCTTTTTCTATTCTCTCCTTCTTTCTTACATTCTGTGGATTCAATTATTGCAATATTTGCTTTTTTCATGTTCCAGTTTGTATTTGGTATTTTATAAAAGCTAAATACACTGTTCTTGCCCAGAGCTTATATTTTAAAACCACAACTTTGAAAGCTATTGGGCGCAGGCAAAATGCAGAGGCATTTCAAAAGCCTCTGGAACAGGTTACAGAATATATGGCCACATTAATACGTAGCAAACAAGAAAACAGTAAGAAAGGGCAAGGGCTATAACACATCATGGACACTGTAAGGATGGAGATATCTTTGCCTCTGTTTCACGATAATTAGTACAATTTTGATTCATGTACCTCAAGCGCATTGTACATCATGGTATTTCAGTCAAGTCTTTTAAAAAAATAATTTTCTGGTTGACAGAACTTCCAATTTTGATTTTTTTCTCATTTCAAAAATCTTTATTGCATAATGGAATAAGTATACTGCAATTTTTTATTCAGTAGTTTTCCTCCATTCTTAATTTTTGTTCCAGGTATGGTAATTTATAATTTGTTGTAAGTGACAGTAAAGAAGAATTACAAATCAAGCCTAATTTTGTATTTGGAAAATCAAACTGCTAGGATTTCACTTTCAAAGAGATCTAGTATCAGATGCACATCATTTTAGGGTTTACAAAGAAGTGTTTTGTTTTGTTTTATAAGGGCCATTCCTAAAATCTGTAAGTTGAGTTCAGTTCTTTCCAATTCACACATAATCAGTTAAAAACAAACAAACAAAAAAACCCCAAAAACCTCTGCCAGCAGAATTTATTCAATAATTCTGTTGATTTTATGAGATGTATTACTTTTGTTCTTTCATATTTATACTGAAAGGAATAAGTGATGTTAAAACAAAACAAGAAAGTAAATAGATATGATTTTATATAAGCATAAGGAATTAAAATTCTGAATTAATATGTTCTCAGTCTTCTCATATTTGGTTTACAACATAGCATGTCTCTCTGGGACCCAACATGTCATGTTTTCCATCATGATGTCACAGTTACACTGTTAAATATTCTGGATGACAGAGTCAAGATTCAAATATGTTCTAACACACTTCTCCCAAACTGTAGAATACATACACAAGAAAATTATGATTTGTGACCTCTTTCCTCCTTGTGCTAGCTTAGGCCAATTTATGAAAAAATATTTATATCATTCTTTAAAATCCAGCATAAAAGCAACAAGGCTAGAAATACTGACTTTACTTGATGTGTCTTCAGTAATAAGATATTTCAGAATAATAAACAATAAATAGATACAAAATTTAGGTAAGCAGAGATAACAGATGAAATATGTCATAGTCCCTACTCCATTATCTGAAGGAAAAAGAGATTGTCACGTGTTTTTTTTTCTCGGAGGCCATATCACAAGTATTTAAACAGGTGGCTCCTAATTACATCTCATATGAATGTAATTCATACACTGTACGTCTGATATGAAAACTTCCCACCTCCATGTTTTTTGCAATATGTAGTTGTAGGGGAATTGAGATATAAACCTATTAAAGCACTGTCATAATCCATGCTTTGAAAATATACTTATTTGCTTAGTCAAACTTGCTCTGGAAAAAGATAACGTATAGCAGCAGTATCTTGGTTACAATTATTAGACATTAGTCCACTTCATAGTATTTACAAGTTCAGTTTTAAGTATATATTTAAGAGAATGAAATACATTTTAAATACAACTGAAAAATAACTCTCTCACCTGATGGAAGAGTGGACTATGTGTTATAGGGACTCCTAAGCCACTGAAACACATCCCAAGGACCATATCATCAGGAGCATCCATGCTGTAACACCGGCATTTACTAGCAAGTAGTTTCTGGACAGCTATTCTGCTGAAAACCATCCTGAATAATAAAAGCAAATGAAGAGTATAAGACAACAACTACTACAGCAGCCAAAAAACTGTAAAGTGATATCGCTAGATTGAATGTTGCTAAATGATGTAAAATTGCAAGATAAAATGTAGCCTGCTGGTGCAACATATCTGACATTTCAAAATTTGATCATTACTGCTGGAGGCATTTTCTGAAAGCTAAGTGCTTTAAATAATAAAAATTAATCATGCTGCTATTCAAACAATTATACAGCTAGCCACCATTTTTACTGCAGGTGATAAGTGTTCTTAGATCTGGCCAGGACTTTTAAACGGAGGTTCTCCTCTACCTTACTCAAATGTATTGTCTGGTTAGTTATCATGCAGTAATCAAATGAAAAGAGGAGGAAAGAACTCTAAACCTGAACTGCCGTTCCTTGTAACTTGTTTTATACAGAGCTCTCTCCATACACAAAAATGTTACTTGAAGGCATTGCAAAGCTTTTCTGCTCATCCTAACTCTCTTGCTCATATAAATATTACCCAGAACCTGAAGCCTCTAGATCATTACCAGTAAAATAAGCTTCCAGTAGATCAGAAACATGATAATGATCTTGAATTCAAGAGCTGAGGCAATATACTCTTGTCTAATATTCTGTAGCTGTCCCACTCAGTCTAATCAGAATATATGGTAATCTAGCTACTACACATTTATACTGATGAGATCCATACTCTGAAATCACCACATAGGTTCATGAGCTCATTCATTACATGACAGTCCTTCACTTGAAACTGGCACACAGCAAACTATTTATAAATACTAAGGCTAAAGAAAAAAGACTTATCTGAGAATACTGTCAGATTAATGTTGCAAAAAGACTTCATAACTAGCATTGCAACTTTGAAAGCAATCTAGTGTATACATCATAAAAAGGAAAAAAAAAAGGAAAGCACAATAGGAAGTTGTATTTCAGTATTCAGATGAGAGATAATTAGCTAGAGCCTTGAAAAGAAGAGACTTGTGACCAGCATGTGTTGCTACACAGAAGCTATGATGTAAATTGAACACATGTGGGAAATACAATTGCTACTTAAATATCTGTACTGTGTCTTTTCAGTTAAATAGAATTCTTAACTTAAAACAAACTTTCTCAAAAATAGTGTATGAAGCAAGATGGATAATCTGGGTCTTTATCTGCTTAAACCTGAGAACGAAAATCCCCCAAATTCCACATCTATAAAACAGAACAGAAACTAAGAGATAAACACTAAAAAGATACAGAAATATAAAACTGGTAACTGGCAAACATACCAGCACCAAAGGAAGGTTTATTTCTTAACTCAAGTGCAAACTTTAACTTAAACTACTTAAGTAAGAACTTACGCAACTATGCATAAGATAATGAGAAGACTGGTCAATTGATCTTTATTCATGGATGAATAAGAAAATTATTATAGTCATTACTTTGCATGGAAAAGGACAGTAAGGACATTGAGATCCAATTAGCTCCAAAACCACACCTGCTTAAGACACATAAGACAGACAGATCAGAATGACCATCTTTATCCGTGCTTGGACAAAGACAGAAAACAGAAAAGAATATTTTCACGACAAAATTTATATCCTTAGCTATACTACTTTGGTTGCTCCTCCTAATCCACTGCAGTTCAGAACAGGAGAGTATTTTTAAGCAAATATGCCAGCTGTCGCCACGTACTACACTTTGATTCACATTGCAAGGTGGTCTCTGAATATGCAAAATGAACTCTATCAGATGAAACAAGGCTGTGTGATGTGCTTCAAGAGAACACGTGGTGTGCTTGCTACTGATAACAGGCACTCAGTCCACAGGATCGGCCAAGCCAGAATAAGACCCTCGAAACTTGCATAACTTGCTGGATCCTCACTACTAACTGCTTTGCCCTACAGATCTGCTCCCATTAGGCTGCACAACTTCTTACATTTGGTTCTCCGAACAACACTACATTTTAATCATATTAGGAAACAGCACTATTTCAGTTGCATCTGATTTGTATCTTAATTCAAAACATTTGCATTCAAAACAGTGACTGATACAGATCTCTGTAGGAGTTTAAATAAATTACCCTCCTCCTCCAGTGATATAACTATATCCTCCTGTTCCCAAGCCATAACCATAACGCTCTCCAAGAAATACTGGTTCGTTTGGGTCATAGCAGCTGAGCAGTCTTCGGAGTCTGGAGATGCTATAATATGAAAGTCCATTAAATTAAAAAAAAAAATTAGTTCATGTTGACACTTACTTTCAAACAGATTTGAAAACACTTACATTGTTAGCCTAACTGGCATTCTAGTACAGAGCACAAAAATGAGAGGAGAAATTCAGAAATTCTACAAAAAGGAGAGATATGAACTTTTAAACACAAATTTGCTATGAGAAATTATTTTTGGATTTGGTCAGTGATGATGCAATTACCTTATAATTATTTCTCAGCAGAAGCAGGCAAGTTTCTCAGCAAAACTGAGTTTCAACTCAAAGAAAGCATGCAATGATTTTTCCAAACAATGTTAAGAACTTTGCAAATAATCTTTTATTCCCAGAAACTGAAAGACAACAGGTAAATTTATTTCTAAGAATCCTGCTTTATCTATAGTTATAGGCTCCTCCAGTTTCTTCTTCAGTCATGTGATTTCATCAAAATACTATCTTGAACCACTTCTCATGTTCATGAGTATATGATCCCACTGGTTGACTACTCTGCCTTATTTCTCTTATACTGCTAGGTCACAGAATATATATTCATTTATCTTAGTATGTGCCAACTTTGTCACACAGTCACCATCTTTCAGTTTTCACTGATTCAGTTTTCTGACACTAAAAATGTAAGTTAATCAATTTTACTTTAATATTAACAATTTCGGATTCATGTTTTTTAATTTGCTCTAAGTTCTCGATTGACTTGCCTGAGAGGTAATTGCATGTTGATGCACGTTCTTGCTGAACTTAACATAACTAGGCATTTATTCTTTGGTGATCAATGTAATTCACAGATTTTCTGAAATATTATTCCCTTCATAAAGAGTTCACTCCAAGGAACTTGATTAAAGATGCATTTTATTTTGAATATTTTTCTATTTCTCCAGTATGGTTCAAATTCCCATCTTATTTGTTTCTTGAAAGCAATGACAAATATATATTCAATCTACTCTGAAGAGAGATTGAGAACTCTGCGCTTCTCCTCACAAAAAATTAGTTTTTATCTGAACATGACCTAATTTTCTGACAAAGGCAAGTTTGTGGACACAGTTCCAGGTGGCTCTGAGAATTGACTGTAGTTCATGGAACCCTTTTTCTGGCTCTTTTATATGCGGAATACATGTTAGAAAGTGTATTAACAAATGATTAACAATAACCAGCTCATATATGCCTCCACCAAACAAACACATTTGACCTTCACATCGTTAGACTACATGATTACATAGTAACCCTATATGCATAGTTTTTATCAAGTTGCAAGAGTAAATTATTCTTAATATCAGTCAAGGAATGCTGAAGGAAATGTGGTTTTTTTTCTTGAAAGAATAGACATCTACATAACTAATAAAAAAACTGTATATCTTAAACATAGAACCCTTATCAGCATGAACAGAGGTACTTTGTGAAATACTGCATTTTATACCTTATCAATGTGTCATCATCCACTATGACTAACCAAGGAGTTCTGGAAGAGCTCTGATTCAAAAACCTTTCCAAAATGGCAAAAGTTTTCCCACAGTGACCTAAAGGAAGAGGAAGAAGAGAAAATATACATTAAATAAAAAGAGATTTCGTAATAACCAGTTACACATGACCTAGAAATGTATTTTGCTGCTTTCTGCAAAATGTTTTGGAAATGACTGGCAAAATACTTGAAGATGAAAGTTTAAATTACATCCTCAAAGGCCGCATGCAGCAGCTCCATCCCCCATCATGTGACCAGAACTATGGGGCACAGCTTCTATAGATGATCCACACAGGCACAGCAGGCCTGCCACCTCCTTAAAACACTCACTGGTTGCACGTGTGCCACACCACACCCATGTAAATAGAAATCCCTGCCTATTCACATTTGCCTTTGATAAGCCCTCTGGAAAAAAGGGCTGCTGGAAATAAGGTAAAGAGCAGAACAACTGATCTAGTGGGTCCGATAAAGCTAACAGGCCACAGCTTGGATACCTCTAATGCAGAAAATAATAGGCTTGCAGACTCTACTACAGGCTTAGAGAAATAGATTAAATACAAGAAAAAAACATTCAAAAGACATTAAAAAGAAGAAAATGACTGAAGCCATTCTATCCACAGCCTTTTTTCTATTCAAAGATGAAGCAAGTTACTACCACAAACCTACCACGTTGCTATAAAAAAAAATTTCAATCTTAACATGTAGTTTTATGCTTAAATCAAGACATACTAGATATAAGCACATAACATCTGAATATCATATGGCAAGCAGTTTATGATCAGTACCCAGCTGGCACTGCCTGAGGTCTTCTGTCATAAACCTATGAAATACTGCAACCGTTAACAAATCTTACATCAAACAGTGGGCAGAGAGCAATAGCAGAATTTTTTCTCTCCTGGAATCGTATCAGCGTACCCTGCTTTCATACTCACCATATTTAGGTTTCTACTGAAAAAAAAAATAAATCTGTCCAAATAGGTAAATTGCACTCTCCATCTATTTCTTGTGCATCGACAGTATACTTTCAGGTTTAACTGCAAGAATGCGTACTATAGAAACACAAAATACATTGTACATGAAATATACATATTATCCTGAAAACTTACCATCTTTATAAAATAACTTACGCAAAACTGAGAATAACAGTCAGAAGCTCACCTCTGTCAGTATTAGGTACTCCTAAATCTATAGTAGGAATGGAGATTTCTGCATAATCACTGTAGTATTCAATAAGAGCAGCCTCTCTTTCCCAAGTCTGCTTTACAATTGGTACTGCAAAACAATCACCAATATTGAAAAGTGAATAACTACTTGATTAAAATGTTTATGTCTTGTGTTAACTAATATATTCCTTCCTGTGGTAATGACAATGCTGTTTCAAATAGAGCATCATAATTATAAATATTAATTCTATTTTCTTCCTTACAATATTTAGAGAGAGAGAATTTTATGTTTTTATGCAAAGCCAGCTGGGACAGTTTTATATAGCAATAAAATTTCTTTAAAAATATGACTGTAGTTTCATTGATATTACATTGAAAACACGTATGCTAACCAAAGTATGGAATTCATTAGCTTTATAATTGCTATGTTAGACTTTATAGCACATAACAGCGTGAACAGTAATTATTAGAGTTCAATCACTCTTTCAGTATTGATACTGTCATATTTTAAAAACAGCACACCCAACTGTATGGCTTATACGATATTGTCATTCCAAAACAGATCAAACGCAACCTTTGAAATAGTACAGGTTATACACATAGTTATTTGAAAGCAATTTCATGCTAATGTTCAAAAGCACCTATCTCTGGAAACATTCACAAAAATGACATTTATAAATATCATGCAATCAACTTTCACCTATTGCAGATTCTATTCGAAGTAAGGACTGCTTAACACTTCTATACAACAGTAACTCTTTTCTTATCAGTTTGCCATCTAAATTAAACATTCTAATAATGATGCTACAAACGTATAACTACATCCTGAGGCGAGTAAACCATAAGTAACACACAAAAACAGGACGGTGGGAACACTTGCAGGATATTTGGAAGAGAATGATCAGATTAAAACTGATGCTCTTCTCTCCATCTTAAAAATTGAGCAGCTACTCTGAAACATCTTGCACTCCAGTCTCACTGTCTGCTTTATGTTCTCTGATACCATACAGTAAGTCCTGTTAATAGTATCTTGTTCTCTGATCACCAAAAACTTAAATCCTGTATGTTTTATGCATGCAATTTTTAGTAATTCTCTATACACTCAAAAAACTACTGTATAAGAAGAGCAAATACTGACGCAACTTCCTTTTGCACTATATAACCCTGATCCTTGTGAATATAGAAGCCACAGGTTTTAGTGCCTTGTTCGATTCATCCTTCACCTAATTTGATATTTGCTGCCTACCTACTTGCTTACTTCCCTCCACTCTGATGGGATCACATAAGGATTGCAGGATTAATTATTCTTGTTTGACCAACAGTCAGTTTAATAAGATGAAATGAACAGAAAGTTAACTGTTAGGATAGAGTGATAAGAAATGAATGTACCGATGAGCACAGCTGCACTATTTGGAAAAAATAAAAATATGATTCTACTCCTACAGCACTGTGCACTAGAAAATGCTTTTTTAAAAATTTTGGATACTTAAAACTGTGCTCAATTTTTGGAAAAAAATTTAAAAGGAAATTATATTTTAAAAAAATACACCAATACAACATTAAGGTTGAGCATTGAAATGCAAAGTCGGGAATTTTACAATACACTAACTCTGCCTTCTGTGTACTGAAGTCACAGTCGTTACATTACGCAACACTGCATTATCATGCATTAATTGGCAGAGAATACCATGTATGTTTTTTATTTCAACTAGAATAAAAATAAGCAGGCAGGAAATGATTTTCTGAGTTTGTGGGAATGTTCTGTTTCAAAAATCTTGTTTCTCAAAAGAACAAAACCAGAAGGCTTTCAGAAACCAGGAGTGCAATACAGAAGTGTTACAGACATACAAAACGCTTCCAGCATTTACCTGGAACATAAGAGAGACTCCTGTAAGGCTGTTTCACCTTTCTCCAACCAAGGACCTAAACCTCAACAGGATGTTTTAACATACCCAACTATTTCCTGTTACGGATCGAGCCTCTCAATTTCTTCAGTGGAATTTCCCTTCTTTGCATAAATGAAAAAAAAAAAAAAGTTCACTAAAGCAAGTAAGATGAGACTCGGGTCCTTAAGTGGTCTAACCAGGGTGCTACTAAAGCATATTTCCTTCTCTTTTCCTTGCTTGTTTCTACCAAAATGTTACTATCCAGACTAATGTCTATTGTAAACAGAATCCCACAATAGTTTGTCATTTCTAGATAACTCATATTATCCAAAGGAAAAACAATTACCTGAAAGTTCCTGAGCAGCTCTTACACATGCTGTCAATGCAAGCATTTACCAATATGTATTTGTATTTCTACTTTTAATCACACGGAGGTTTTAATACTGCACTACAGAGATACTTATGGAAGCTCAACTCTAGAACCTTGATTCATATTTTGTATATAATTATATAAAGTACATGTAAAAAGGAGAGTTAAATCTATAGTAAATTCTTAAATTTAGCTGCTCTTGCACATCAAATTCTAAGCCTCTAATGTTGCACTAATGTAGTTTTTGGCATACAATAAAAAAAAGACTTACCAGGTAAAAGGAGCTCTCTGAAGCTGGCATCCACTAATCTTTCAAAATCTTGAGTAAGATTATCCTCTATTGCATAACACTGGAAGCTGTGAGGAAAGTTCAAGAATTTTCCTCAGTCTTCAACACGTGTTTCTTGAAGGATGTTTATGTTATCTTTTTAAAGCTTTATATTCCTTTCTGACTTTTTGATCATCTTTAATAAAAAGAGCCTAGGTTTTTTTTTTTTTTGTAATTTCAAGGATTAGAAAATAAACATGGATCCAGAAAGGTGAATTCTTCAGTGAACTCCAATTACAGGACAGTCAATTTTGTTTTGTCAAAAGCTACTTGCTAAAGCTATCCAAATGATCAGGTGATTAAAATACTGGAAACGTGCGTTCATCAAGTACGCTAACAACTTTAAGAAAAGTAAGTTACATAAATCTTATTTGGGAAAAAAAAAAACAGCCAGCAAATAGTCTAAATTTAAAATGACAGACTGACAGAACCTACAGTTTTGAATGCATTAGCAAAGGGGAACTTAAGAAAAGAGCTTTTAACTTCTGACAAAAGGCATGGCAAAATCCACCATAAAATTTGATACAACTACTACCTATTATGTAATTTGCTTTTTTTTTTCCTCCCTAAGAATAATCACTTTAACTTAAGCTTATAAACAAAATAATGGCGACAGTATCACATACCTGGAATATTCAGGGACACTAAAAATGCAAGTAAGTTCCTGGGAATAAAACTATTGCTGGATTTTCTTGTTCTAGTAAACTAGAACAGACTGGTAGATGGCATTAAGTAGACAGAGCATCTTCTGTTAAATCAGTGGACTTGGAATTTTTCCCAACAAGTTTTGTTAGGAAAACCAACACTGGTTCTAGCTCAACTTAGCTGATGCTCATTAGCTGAAGCAGGGAGCCTTCCCTGTGCCTTTGTTTTCCCTACAAAAAAAGTTAATATACACTGTATGCATCTTGCTGGGCTGCATTAGCTCTGTGTATATATATGTGTGTGTGTGAGTGTGTATAAACAAGACACCCACACACATATATCTCTATATATATACACATATATGTGTTTATTTTACATAGATACAATGGTCATTTTTTATGGTGACTATCATTACTTGTAGGACACTACAATTTCTAGACAAAACCCACTGTACTTGGACACGCTTTGGAAGACTCCACAGCTTGTACGCAACACAAAGTACTATACCTGGCCAGATTTCTATGCAACCAAATTTCCCATTATAAGCATTACAGAACACCTGTATACATCTGACTGCATACAGTGACATTAGATAAAAACAACATGACAGCTTAAGCTACTTACTTCTTTTACGCGTGAGCAAGGGAAGAACAAAAGGAAGGGGCAGAGGAGAGAGCTCTCAGTTTGCTTGAATTTCTGGATCATCCTACAGCTGCACAAGTATCATTGCTAGCACAAGGAACAAGACTTGACCACATACTTGGGGGATACAGTGAAGGACACTAACTCAATAGCTCCAATTTAGATCATTGTAAGCTAACTTTAGGCGTATTTTCAATTCAGGTATTCAGTTTCAAGAGCCTCTGCCAACCAATCACTAATGATGAAACACCAAACTACCATAACTTTTTGTCTCGAGCATTTCAAACACTCCTAAACAACCTTGAATAATAATAATAAAAAAATCTACCTAAAGAATCACACTGTTAGAATTCTGAACCTTTCATGCTTCCCAGTGGATTTTGCAAATATTTAGCTCCAAGAGCTACATGGCCAAATAGTATAAGAGTTTTTCTTTTAAATATTAATTTCCTAAACTATATTGTATAGAGCTACTACCTTGAATAATCAAGAACTTACTTCTGTCTCCATGGAATTTCCGACATGTTTTTACAGCAACAAAAACATCTTCCTTTTTCACTGGCTCTCCCTATAAGAAAAGAACAAAAATTAAGTTTATAATTGCAGGCCCTGCCTCTAACATTTTATTGGATATGTATGTCCATATCTATAATAAAACACAAAATATTTTTTCATTGTATAGCATATCAAGTAGAAGAGTGCATTCAGTAATACAACAGAAAGAAAATTTTTGTCTCTTGAAAAAGCGTCATTAGTGCTTTCAAATTCCTGAAATAACATTACTGAAATACCTTCTCCGCTGATGTAGGATTCTTGCCTGAACACATATCATTAGGAAAAGAAGAGCCGCAGAACCTGTTGTACTAAGAATGATTTATCTGAAAAAAACTTTCTGTTAACTTCTTTGTAATTAAAATAATATGAGAACCTGTTGAACCGTATCGTACTGGGAGAGAGAAGCTTAGAGGTTACATACTAGAAACATGCAAGTTTCCTCAAGCCTACTGAAATCATGTTTATTTATTTTCTTTTTTGACACCTAGAATTTTGTTTTCATGGAAGCATGGCAGTCACTTTTTGGCCCCTTGTAACGATTACCCACAATATCTTAAGGGTATTCTCCTAGAGATAGAAGATATGGGTTGTACTTCAATGCACTTAAATGCTATATTGCATTTTATCTTCAGATGCATCAAGTTTTAGATTCCCGTCTCTAAAATGAGATCATCTGTATTTTAGTATACCACAGAAACATAAGGAGAAATACTTCAAAGATCATGGGCTGCTCAGACATTGTGGTAAAATATGTGTTAATTCTTTGCCAGGAAATATCAAGTATCACAGAAGGTTGAAAGCATATCCAAACAAAGGGAAACACCACCAGAAATAATTCTTTTGAGTTTACTGAAAAACATTTTCTTAAGGCCTGGGATTTTTTTTTTAAGTCAAGCATTATGCATCTTATTAAGAGTTTTACTTTTACTAAGCAAGTGGTATTTAAAATATAGTACTTACACAAAGTGGCAGAAAATTACTGAATGTTGTTGCACAATGATTAACCTTATATGAGTTCGCATCATCTGTACAGAACTCAGGCACTGGAGTAAGATGTGGTCCATCCCCTTTCTGCCAAATGTATAGTGCAATCTATCAAAATACAAAACATTTATATCAATGAGTAGAAAAACTGGATAAAAATTCCCAGAGCAAGCACAGAAATCATCATATTATAGGATAAACTTAAGAGAAAACAGTTAAAAATAAAGGACACCATAGAGGATTTATGCCTTAGTTGATTAACTTGCTGCATAACCTCACTCCTCCACATTCCTAGAGCCAAAAATCTTATTTTTTGCTATAATAGAAATTCTAAAGATGCTCAAGGTTTAAAGGACTAAAATTGGTTTCATATATTTAAGCATGAAAAAAAAACTCATCCCCAAATTTGTTGAAGTAGAGGTGATGCGAGTGTTTGCGTCTTCTTTTAAGTAAAATAAAATCCTTATTTTGTTGCTCTTTGAAATTATTTTGATAATTTGGAATAGCTAGTGCCATTTCTTCCTGTGGCAATATGCAGTTTTCCAAAATAGACCCATTCTCTGGTTGACAGTTTAAAAATCATTTAAAATCAATAACGAAACTGTGAGAAGTTGTGAAAGGGACTGAATGACAAGGTAGTAGATTCTTGTCCATTTTAAATGTTAGAAGAACAGCAAAAATTTACAAAGAAAAGGGAATAAGCAAAGCAGTGGTGTCTGAAGACGACAAAAAAGAACCTTTATGTTTACATCCATTTAATTCATAATAAAGTTAATATTTCAAGTTGTATTTTACTACAGATCAAGAACACTTAGCCTTCCCCAACATTTCCACTACAATTCTTTGATATTGTTCATAACTTGGCCAAACTAAGTGTTTAGTCAGGAATCTTTTATGTTGGCTACCTACCTCAGACCAGCTGAAAAATTAATCTCATTTCATATAAAATTGTTCAGGCACTTAAAAGAACAAAATTAAGTTCTTAAAAATTTAGAGGGAAGAAAAGAATGTCTCAGTAGGTATGCGGTGGATTTAGGACTTCCCAGCTGCACTGCCATGCACTTTGGATTCTGACTGCTTAATATCTTTCGAGGACTGGTACTTCCAGGATGTGAAAGTACTTTCTTTTTATATAAAAGCTATTTGAGCATATGCTCAAGACTCAGATATGTGCTCTAGGTCTGCTTCTGTTCACTACCTCAGAGTTACAGCTTCCACTTTTCAAAAGGGTGCCCAAGCCAACAAACTATAGATAATCTGGGACAGAGACTCTCCATTCTTTCTCAAGAAGCCGAGTGTGAAAATTAAGATTCATGAAACCAACAAGATAGTGTAGCAAAGAAGAAGGAGCCTGACTCTACAGCACAGGGGTAAGGCGTCTCCTCCAGGGGAGGAAAATCCATCTTGGGTTCTAGTTGCTGTTTCCAATGCTGCTTTTGCATATTCTCAGTGATTCTTGCATGGAAAACAAGTGCTTCACTGGAATATGGGATCAGAAACAGCATACACCAAAGCCAATGAGAAAATAAGTCTCTTTTTCACTGTTTTATGCCTATTTCCAAAGTAGGAACTGGTCCATTGAAACCCCCTCAGATTATGCTGGGGCCAGAACCCAGATCATACTCTTTGTAGGGAGTAGGTTTTCATTAAGCTAAAGCGCAAGATATTTCCTCCCCCCGTCACAGGGTTCAGGAAGAACTCAGCGTAAACTAAGTGCATTACGTTTAGCCTGGACATAGCTAGGAAGTCAAACCATTTATAGACTCTAAGTTAGAGATTAGTACCTTCCTGCCTGTCTCATTCCTACCAACCTCCTCCAAAAACCCTAACAACCTATATATAGACTTTTTTTGGGACTTAGTGGGAATATAACAGATGTCAATTTTTTCCAGGCACTGTCAGGGCTAGGGGGTAGGCTTGAGAATAGAATCATACTCTTGAAGCTTAAGCTTCTAGCTTTGGCAGATTTTAGATGCCAAAGAGCTGCAGTACGGTCACATAATAGAACACAATCAGCTGATGACATTTTAACAAGCTGCTGGTGGTAACGGAACTGTCATAACTACACAGGCACTGCTAGCCCACCTCAACTGCAAAGTAAAACATATTTAGCTTAATTGCACTGAAAACAGCTTAAATTACTGTATTTTTCTTGTAACTGAGGGGGAATGCAGATGACTGCATGCAAACATGGTTATTACTACTGCTCAGCTGATAGCAACCTTTTGAGTTCTTGCAACTCAGTCGCAGGTTCCTACTATACCAAGATGAGTTTTGTAGTTTGTAAATAAATCCTAACTTCTCTTAGCCTTGCCATTAGTAAGTGGTCTGTTTCTTTGCTGTTTTAGCAGTGCTTCTGACACCACAGATGATCTTAGCTTTACAGAGGAGTTCAAAGAACTAATGCAGAAGAACAGTATATGGAAGCAAATGCAGAAGCACGAGTGGCAGTTAATCCTAACATCATTCACAACGCTTGGAGTAGAGGAGGAGTATGGAAATGAAATGTAACAGACACATGCAAGCAGTAAGGAGTAGCCAGTAAACATACATACATTCCCAAGGTATCTTTTTACCTTGTCGCCACGTTCACCTTATGGCATGTGAACTGCTCCTGACCCTGCCTTGGTTAGAAGGCAAGGGATGTGATTTTATAGAGAGCTTCCAGCCCATTTTAAGATTGCATTAGCTCAAAACTCAGCTATTCAGAATGAAAGTCTAACACAGGGCACAACAAAAAAAGCAATGCTCACACTTCACAAAGAACATTTAAATGTAACCTAACATGAATTATCCACTTATTATTTATGAAAGTTCATCATGTGCTAAGAAAGCATATTTCTCATAGAATAATCACATCTTCAACAGAAACCCTTAGTATAGTGTGAGGCTACCATATTTCAGAAATAAGAGTGCCATTTTTGGGCCTTAGAATAGGAAGATAAACAGTTTCTAAAACAAGAATAGGTTGACAATAAAAAGATGTAAAATGTATTAGTCTTTTGTTCATATCTAACATTAGCTACACAAAAAAATCAATTATCCACTTTAATTTTGAGTAACCATCAACATGAAGGAAATACGCTATATTACATATATTTTTAGAAGTCTAGAAAAAAAACTACAAATGAAAGCCAGCATGACAAAAACCTTTTAGCATATTTGTAAGGTAGGTCCTTCAGATGGAGAATGACATAAGCATTAGAGATGTAAGAATTAGGGATGTGGAAAGTAGTAGGAGAAAAAAGCTGATACATAGCACAGTAAAACACTAAGGACTAGAGGCCCATGTTATTACAGCTCTGTTAAATCAAGATATTTCTTTAAACATTTATCATCCTTCATAATTTAAATATTACACACAAACATTAAAGATTTCAGATTATATCCTCTGATTTGTTGTCAATCATACTTCATACAAGAAGGATGTAGCAAGATAAAAAGACTGAAGAAAGAGGAGAGAGTGATTTATAAAACAAGTGAGGGGAATGGAACTGTCTCCAGGGAGAGACGACACGAGATTGTGTAGAAAGAATAACTGTAGGGCTGAAGGAAGTTACCAACAGTAATGAATTTGAAATGGAATATAGGCAAAGAATTGCTAACAGAATTTGTAGGGGGATGGAAGTCTTTGTCACCAGTCAAGTGATCAATTGTTCTTCATTAATCAACATGACACACAAATTAAGAGTCTGCTAATGAAATTTTTTGATGACACTACATTTAGAGGTTTTTTTTAGTGCTGAGATCGACTGGAATACTGGAATATATGAATGACTTCAAGATAACAATTACAAAAAGATTAATAGTGTGAAATACAAGGTCTTGCATTTAGAAGAATTAACAAGAGGAAAGTAAAACAGCTTGTTGGCTTGTTTCATGGAGCAAAATGAAGATTGAGAGCGGTCCAATTGCCTTCTAGAAATACAGCAGGCAAGGAAGGAAAACTAAGTGAAAGAATACTGTTGGCAGAAAGCCAAATGTATTTAAATACACTATTGATTTATACACTATAAGTACACTATAAATTTATGTGAAATTAGGAGGTTTGTAACCATTACAGAATAAGGACCTGGAATAGCAACAGTAGTTTTAAGTAGGTTTTTAACATGGACCGGAAACAGAATTTATAGCTGAATATTAAGAGAGTTTAAAAAAAACTAAACTAAAATCAAAATCACTCATGATTTCAGGCCAACAGCCTACCCCAGACTCATTCTCCCATTCCCCCCTGGTTTTGGTGTTCACGCTGGTGACACTACGAAACCCTGGGTCGCATGAGCATTTTGGAGTTAGAAAGCACGTGCTTCCGAAAGGGTAGCACTGGTCTTGCTTCAGATCCTCATGCCTTTCTTATGTTTCTTTAAATCAGCTCCCTTATTCCCTGAAACACCTAGTACCTGCCTTTCAGAACTGCTGCAAATCAAAGGCAAAAAAAAAAAAAAATTCCAAACTTCCATCATACAACTTCCAGCATTGACTGTTCACACCAACACAACAGTCGCAACAGGTAGGCTCCTCACAATACTTCATCCAAAATCTATTGTATCTAGCTCTTACATACTGATTTAGAATCTGAATGTGGCTGTCTAGTATCTGAGATACCATTCACTCCAGTTTAAACTTCATGGGAGAGGAAAGTTCATGGGAAAGCCCCTTTCCCTCTCTACAGAATAAGCCTTAGAAGGTACCTCACTGTATACAATCATGTAATGTTAACATAAACACAATTTTCTTCATGAAATCTTCTATGCTTGAGGCATAATTTTGAAGTATCATATGTCATAATATTCTAAAGGAAGGGAAATTAAACACACTATTACATTCAACATTTTTAACCAAAAAACCCTGTTATTTCTTCTTTACTTTATCAACATAAAAATATACAGTTTTGAGATAATTTTTCTTACTTACATCACAGGAACAACCCACTGCTTACCTCATGTTTTAAATCTATTGTAAAGTCTGACTTGAGTGGTTCACTTTTCAACTTGTTCGCAAGCCTATACAATAAAGATGATGAAATTTACTTCAAAAAACATGAACAAGAGAAATGTAAGATCAGTATCAACTGACTCTTTACACTAATGAATAAACCTGAAATCCTTACGTCTTTGAAATATACCAAAATTTCCTAACAGTCTCTAAATCTCCTTTCTTAACTGCAGTTTTCATGCTCATGATAAGAAATCTGTAGCTGATCTATGAAACCAAAAGTATTTTCCAGAAAAAGTTTCATGGCTAGGCTGCATAGCAATCAGAGAGAAATGCAGACCAACAGTAGACTACTGGCACAAAGGATTAGGGAAGTACTGCTCTAGACAAACAGCTACCTATAGCTATTTTACAAAAATGTATCTGCTATATTTTCTTCCATATTTTAAAACTATTTTAAACAATAATATTTGAATGAATGTCTTCTAAAGTCATACTTCTATCATATTAAAAAAATAAATCACTAGTAGTAGGCAGTACAGTAGGCTAATGTTTTTTACTATCTTCTTCTTTTACAAAAAAATATCACTTTTGTATTTATTGTCTCAAAAAGCAATTTGCATTTTCTTTTCATACCAAATGAAAAGATGCATCACGCTTGCATCTAAGTACAGCGTGATGATGACAATATTTGTTTTCAGCACACACTTTTCAACACATCCTTCCTGCCCAAGAAGAAAGTTCTCATCTGGAGTGGATCTACAATCTGGCATAACATTTTCAACACATTAAAGGCAGCACTGTATTTGAAGCTGTGTACTGATTAGCATCTCAAACTTCAGACAACGTTCTCTTTTTGTGTGTTCCAAAGCACAATATTTAGGCACCTTCAATTTATGAAAATACCAATTCTTGCTACAACAAGATGCATTTAACTTCTGAAGTTTATGAACTTTTCAGGTCTCATCTAAAAACTAAGCATCTAATCCAAACCAAACATCTGTGTTCTCTCTAGGGCAATGCAGTTGTTCGAGGATCCAGGAATAAATCTGCTCTTTAGAGGAAATTACTTTTCTAAAAATCACAGAGAGAGTATCAACAACTAGTTAACATGATGTTAACTTTTAGATAGGCAGAGCTAAGAAAAATAAGTCACACCTAAAGGATACAGCAATGATACAGAGTTATATATGGAAATCTATTTCCGTGCCTGTCAATTAACAAATTCTTAAGTGTTTACTTATGGTAATTATGTTTGAATGTGTGGAATAAGGAGGAAATGGAATTTTGTCAATAAAAATTTTTTTCACGGTAAATCTATAGTGGGAGCACATATCTATATAGGCTTGCCCAGAACTAGTTGTAAACTAACATGCTTTTGCATAGTATTTGAATGTCCTGCTTAGATCCTTAAAATAGCCTTGGCATGGATGCTGATAATATAGGGGTGGCAGGAGCAAGAGCTCAGTGTACGAAAACAATCCGTGAAGTCAAATAAAATAACTGAGTGGCCAGCCTGCATTGATGGAGCACACCCCAAGTTGTCTGCCACAGCAAGCTACAGTAAATATTCAAAGATAGGTCAAAATTAAAATTTGACTATATATCTACATGATCGGTAGTAAAATCTTCAGCTGCACTGTAGGCATACCTTTATCTTTTACAGAAAAATATTAATCCATAAGAAATCATAACCCATTAAAATGACATTAGAAAAAATATATAAATTCAGAAGTCTTAGTTACTCTTAATAAACAATTTAAAAGTGATTAAAAATTCAATTCTTACTTGTTAACCAGTGGAATGCTAAGTGCCCAACCAGCCGCAAAATCTGGAAATTTAAAGACTGTAGGATTTTCAGCAAAGGCGTAGTGGTGAATTATTGTAGATTCTTCATCATACAACGCTTTACCTAAAAACCACTCCTGTAAAGGAACATAGAAAACAATTTTGCTCATCTACAGCATCCTCTTACTGAAGATGACTTCATTCACGCTGAATAAAGCAAACCTGAAAACAAAAACAAGGGAAGTATATTCTTCACAATAAGCCAGGAAAAAATTTTACTTGGTAAGAAATAAAACAAAAGGCAGTTATCTAAATATTCAGATGTACATAGTATTTTCGGACTCCATCATTAGCCCTGGATTCCACTGGTGCAAAGAGCACTGAATAAGTCAGATATTACTGATGACTGATTAGACAGAGCACTCAAAATTATTGTACATTCAGGGTCTGAGTGTACATCTGTTTTGGACTTCCATCTGTTTAACCTTTAGTTATTTTCCGCTAGGGAACCTGAAAAGGAAATACATTTTAAATACTTTGATCCTCAAAACAGTCACCTGAAGATGGTCCCAAGTACGCATTTGTGAAGTAAAAAATGTAACTGTTATTATTAATAGTTTTTAATAACAATGTTTAAGATAATTTACCACTGACTGCTGTATCTGAAAATATTTAAGCAACTTAAATATTACTACTTTAACATCAGTGTCAGTTATCTTAATCTTTCTGTTTAGAATAGACATTAAACAAGCATATCCCTACATCTTTGCAAAATAAGGACTATAATGAGGGGTATACTTATACGTGTGTATATCAATAGAGATAAATGGATTGCTTTTCATGCCTGCAAGTACAAATGATGAATCAGATCTCTGAATCACCCTAATGGTTATATTAAGTATTTCAATATTGGAGCTGTTTTTTGCATTATCACAGTAACTCAGACTGCTTTTTTTCCTGACAGTTTATAAGTTCACCATTAAAACAGATTCAAAGTTGTGGTGATTATTTTCTCACAAAAAATAGTCTCATTCGTTACAGACACATTCAGACCAAACACTGCCATAGTCCCTCGTAACATTTATAACATAGTCTCTATTTTCCAGGTCTTTTTAAAAATATCAGTCTCATATTAATTGTTGAGCTTCCATTCTCTTCTTCCACACTGCCGGTCCTATTTGATTTTTCCCCTCCTTTAAGAGGGTAGTTGTCAGCAACAATGAAAAATACCTTCATGGCGTTAGCACAGTTCATACACTTGACATAAGGTAAATAAACAATTTACACATGGCTCAAGACAAAAGGAAAAATATTCAAGCAAAAGTACCGTAGAAACATCAGATCAACAAACTATAGCCCCAAGAGGCTCTTCCTTCTCAACAGCCATCTCTACAACTCCGTGCAAATGTTACTATACAGACTGAAATACAATTTTGTAGCTCCCCAGAGTGAATGAGGAGATTTGGCCAAGGCAGGGTGAAAAGAGCAGAAGAGAGGTCTGCACACACCAGGAGAGGCACACCTCCAGCCCCGAACAGATGGGCTGAGCCACACAAAGGTGGCTGCCCCAAATTCAAAAGAGGGCGGAAGCCTGGAGCTCCCAGGGGTATTTGCCTTGCTGCACACACTGAGTCAAAGCTATGAGATGCTGCCTGCTTTAAAACCCACATCTCTACCAAGGTCCTTCAGTGTGGCCAGCCTGTGGCCAGGACTGGTGTAAGCAACTGAGATTTATCTTGCTACAAATGCTGCTGCGAAGCTATGGGAAGCCATCTCTGCAGGAAGCCCTGGCTCTCCGAGGACCCTCTGGCTCAGCCAGCCAAGTGCTCGGGCTGCTACAAGCGTAACATTGTGTGTGCATGCACATGCACAGGTGTGTGACTGTTTTTCCCCCGAATTCTGCATGTTTCTCCCCACTACTTCAATCAGCCACTCTAAAGAAGATTCAATTGAACGTAGGTTGTACTTGACTAGTTACTTCTTCAGCTAACACAAAGGTTGAACGCTTGTTATCTCCCATAATCTGATGTGTCTCCTGAGGCTGAGTGGTTTTCAGGAATCTGTTGAGGAAACAGCTGAAATTAAACTGTCTCTATCCAATTTACGGAGAAGATAAGGATGAAGATTTTTTTCCGCATTAACCACCTTCATAGGTGGCTACCCAGTGCCTTTCTTAGCTTTGATTTATACCTTGCATCCTGATAGGCCCTATTTTCTCCTTCCTTTATTGGCAGGATTCAATAGTGTTCACTGGAAGGATTTAAAAATTAACGAAATATTGGAAGGTGAAAGAAATACACTGATTTTTATGCACAAAGATAATCTCTTTGTAAAATCAAAGTAACCCTTCTAATGTATTTTGTGCATACAGTTTTTAAATTCCAACTTTAGGGCCTCCAGGGTTTCAGTATGTTCACAACACAAGCATACAGAAACAGATAATAAATATTAACATTTTCATGTAACAGTACTAGCTGCAGACAGCTCTTTTCAGAACCTTGCCTCTGTTGTGTCAGTGCATAAAAAATATTTTCTTGACCTAATTTTGCGTGCTAATTTTCACTCTAACTTTCTAACATTCTCTCAAACTTATGGATTAAAAATACAATTTTAATTTCCTTTCTCCATAAAACATAGAAAATTAAACCCATACATATACCCTCCTCAAGTTTTCACAGAATATCATATCTGGAAATATCAATAGTCACAAATCAACACTGTGGAGGCATTTTAGGCTACAGCTGATATTCTCCATGCTTGTCTGCTCAGGTCAAAATAGTAAATAAATAGTGTTTATATAGAGGACAAGTTGATCTGTGCAGGTTGGCTTTACAAGGAAAGATAAAATTAGTTATACACTAAGGAACTTAAAATGCAGCTTACATGAGGCATGACGCTAATCTTATTCTATGTGTGAAAAAAACTCGGGTGGAAAAAAAAAAAGAAAAGAATTCATTGTATTGTGGATAACTATCAGTCACAGGATCAGTTAAAATACTGTGCTTCAAAAATGGCAAAAATCACCTCCCTTCAGTAAGGGCACTCCGAATCTTTAAAACACTTTCAATAATATTGAGAAATTTGATGCAATGAAATCAATATCACACTTTAGGGCAGGGGGAAGTGATTTTACATAACTTGCTAAGCAAGTTGATTCTACCCACTCACTCTTGTATCCACTTACTCTCAAACACCATGGCTAACGTGCCCAATCCGTCTGGTTTGGCCATGTATCCGACACAGAGAACAAGAGATTTCAGCTGTCGCATCTTCCCTGTTGAGGTCTTATGAGCCTCAAAGACAAACCTGTTCATTAGCCAGGTCCCTTATACCCTTTAAAAGCGTCAATAGCTATTATGGCATTGCTGCCCATCATCTTGGTTTACATTCCTCGGTACATTCCTCATATATTTCCACATACAATTTGGCTTAACCTTGCTGCTGTCCCCCTGCTATCAGAGCCCAGATTTCTGTTGTTGAATCATCTGAACGCTCACCTTCTGGTCTTGCTGTAGATCAGACGTTCTTCACTGATTATTAGTTTTACAGCTATCAATAGTGTCCTTCATTATTAATGCAGGCTTTTTTTTAAAAATAACATGCCTCCATGGTTTTGTATGGTGCTTTCACATCTTTGTTTCCATTCATATTACATTCATATCAGTCTTAATAGTTCTGTTACTGATCACTGCATGTCCAGACTGAAAAGCTGCAGATTCACCAGCTATTTATATGCTGCTTGTACATATTTTATCGTGATTAATGTGTATCAATTGCTTATTATGCAGACTGCTGACATGATAAAATTAATAACGAGTGAGCTCATTCTGGTCTAACTCATCATCTTAACTGATATAACTCATGGACTATTACATTATACAAGGAATCAGTTATGGACTGTTATACTAAGATGACCATTGCTCTGTGTAAAAGCGAAACATTTTATTTCCCTTTCAATACAGGCTGGAACATAATTTGTTATTACAGTAGGATTTATATGTACTGCAAAAGAGATTAAAACTGGGATGCGGGCAGCATCCAAAATAAAAATTTATATGAATTTTCAGAACTTCAACTTGAAGTACGTGCTTCTGAAACAGAAACGATTGTATGTTCCAAAGGCCTGAAAATAAGTTAGTAGTCCATTTTGAAGACAGAGTATTTTAAAAACATAAGATCTCTAAATTATTATGGTTATCATTTTAGAAAAGAATTTTCTGGAAACACGACAAGGCCAAGTGCCTGCAATAGAAGTAAATATGCTAAACTAAGACCTGAAACAGGGTTCAATACCTGGTCAAGATAGCAATAAAGAGGAGAAGCACATTTCTAACGGGAGATTTTGGCTTTTTTTAGTCCAGGCAATGAAAGACATAAGGCTGAATGTTTTCAGACTATTCCAAATTCTAAACATTAACAGCTGATCAATTACATTGCCAAATTTACTTTATTTTTTTGGTGACCGGCTTTTTCTTTTGTTGTGTAAGTCTTTTGGTGCTCTTTCTCTTCCAGCAGGTAAAGATTTTACTTCTTTTTTAACACTAAGACAGTTCAGAAACAGAATGCAATAAATGCCCACCCATATTAGGTCAGAGCTAATGAATCATCCTGCCTGCTCATAATCGGTACTGATGATGGACAGGAAAAAGATAAGACAGCAGACTATATCCACCTTTTTACTGCTGGATCAGGAGATCCACAGAAGGAATCTTCTTTTTATTCAGTTTTAATAGCTCTTCAACAGCTATACAGGCCTCTTCATGTTCACTATTTTGCTCACTCCCAGATTCAACATCAGGAATCTATCCTCCTGTTTTCTGCTGTTTGAATATCTCTTTTCAAAAGCTGCCAGCTGAGCTACACAGGCAACGTTGTTCTGGACAACAGAAATTGTTCCATAACTAGGAATTGTTCCATAATTCTGTATTTATAATTTTGTACTTAAAAAAGATTTTAAATGATTCCCCATGTTTCATCCAAAAAAACCCATTCAAACACATTCTAAAGCATATTAAATATCTAAATTTTTATTTTACCTTAGATCTGTCAAATCTTCGAAGTGTTTCCAGAAGTTTTACAATTTGTATTCTTGTACCTTCTTCACAGAAGAAAATCCATGAGGAGTTCCTACCATAGGTAACAGAGAAGCTAAAAAAAGAAATGAATGTTTTACTGTAAAACTGGCTTTTGAACAGAATCATAGATCCAACCTCTGCTCCCCCAAATATGGGCACTTGGAAATTTACACAGAACAGAAACTTTTACCACTTAGAATTACATATCAGAGCACTACAGTAAATGGATGAAGATACTGCCTCTGTTCCTATCTACTTACATAGTATTAGTTATTCCAGAGAGAAAGGAATAGAGATACATAAAGAATGTCAACTCAGAAATGCACAAGTACTATAGGTATAGGCACCTATAAAATGCACAGGTTTATAGACAGTAGTTTAAGTTACCTTCCCCTCTGTACCTTAACTTTCTTCTATGGAGCCCCACTGTTGGACATTAATACCCAATGCAATAATCCTGAAACTGCATAATTACAGCTGTTTGACACTGACCACATCCTTGAATCAAACCTAAAAATTTTATGAACGCTTTCACTCACTGTAAACCTCAACACAGTGACGGAGATCTTAAGATTACACTTGTGAGAAGTCTTCAGAAAGTAAATATTCTGTCCAAGTTAATCTGTATCCAATAAATACAAATCAACAATTGTCATAACTGTGTACAGACCTCCTTAAAAATGGTGATACCTAAAGAAGTGAGGAAAGTCATTCTGAAAGCAGTTTTCATATGAGTGCAACTTGCACCACAATTCCTAGCACTATCAACTGCTGTAGAGCTGACTAATCACTTAATCTTTCTCTTCTTCTGCTTCTGTCCACTAAAAAAAATCTAAACAGTGCAAGTCTCACAACATGTACATATTTCTAAACTGTTCTGTCTTCATTCTGTTGTTTTGCAAAAATTGGTGAACAAAACAGGAGACACAAGGGACTCGTTATTCCAGAATCCTCTTCAAGCTGGAAGACCTTTGAGATTCCATTTCTGATTACTGAATAAATTTCTTTTGCTTTGTCACACAAACTAGTATCTGTATTTTTGCTTTTGAGTTTTGCTGTCTTGTAAGAGCTTTTTCTGTAAAACCTTGTCTTTGAGACATAAGTAAATCAGAAGAGTAGCCACTAAAAAGGGCGCTAAGAAAGAAAAATAAAGATGATTCTGATATTTGGAAAGTCATCTTCCACTTTGTCAACTTACTCTTATTCTCCTTTTACTTATTTTTGTACCTTATATATATATATCTTATGGATAAGTACTATATACGCGCCATTTTCATGTTTCTACTCACATAGAAAACAATGGAAAGGACAGCAAAAGAGAGTATGAAAATCCTGTCCTGTGATCAGGAAAAGTATTGACTAAACTAAGCTTCCAGAAGCCACAGAGCCTTTGGCTTCAATTTCAAATGTAAGTTTTAGGCAAAGGACAGCCTTCAGTACTAAGGAGCTTTAGGACTTCCTGAAACAGGAAACACTGCTTCCTAATGGTTTGCAACACAGTACTGTATAAATGCAACAAGTCTCCCTTGGAGCCCTCTGCAAGAAGCTAAGAGAAATCTGAAATTTCTTGTATTATTGGAGCATAATGAGATGAGAACTGGCCATAAAAGCTTACAAAATGATGTTGAAACCTACACCCCTTCACTAGGGAGGAGGACTACCTCTTAGGAACACTGTAAGCAATATAAGATAGAAACCCCAAAGAGGTATGATTCACTATCTATTAAAAAAAAAAAAATTATAAACTTCATTTAGTCAAGTAATCTGAAGAGACAAAAATTCAGAAATTTTTCACACCATACACTATGAGCAACTGGGAAAAAAAATTAAATGCTTTTTCACTAGTTTACTTCTCTAATAATTTTAAAACACACAACTATTTAAGAAAGGTTCGGGTATGTTATACTATTTCTTCTTTAGTTCCTCTTATATTTAAAACAGCTTTCTCTGATTTATTGAAATTAAACAGAAAATTGCTTTGGAAAAATGAAAAGAAGAATAGAAATTAAAAAGATAAAGTTGCAACTCCCATCAAAAGCCATTGCTTCTGAAACAAAGTTTGAATAATTTATATTTATCTTTTGGGTTACACAAAATGCTGAAAATAACCGATATTCAGTACGCTTACTCTCTCATTAACGGCAGTATGGTCCATGCACCTTCATGTCTGTCCATCTGATGAATAAGCAGAACTGTAGGTAACTCCTTTAAGAAAATAAAAATATTCCTGTTAAACATGACTAATATAAACTTTTTCCTCAAGCACCAACTAAAAACAAAATTACTCTGGAATGACTTAACTCTTCAGTGTTTTCACTGGCAAACATCCCTGCAGAAGAGATGATTTAGGACAGTACGAATGAAGGTGACCTACAATTTAAGGAAAGTCCTTCTTCCAACTCCCAGTTTCTAAATTATCGATTAGATATAAAACTTATACACTTTTAGTGAAGTGTTTTGTATAGGTCCCATGTACTTGTTCAAGCTGTATTTCATACTCGTGTTCATCAGATAATAAAAGCTCAAATTGCAAAGATAGACTTATAAATAATGTAGAATATTCTACAAGGCAGCTGTTGACAATCACATTACACAGAGTTTATGTAAGAATTCTAAAACTCAGTACATTGCTGAGTCCAAGTCTGACCTGTCATGCTAACATCATGACAGAAAGTCATAGGTTTAAAAAAAAAAATTAAAAGGAGTTTATATTTCTTCTTACTAAAAAACAAAGAAGCTTCCCACAAAGCACTTTTTTTTTTTTTTTTATGAACCTCTTTGATTTTTTTTCTCTTGACATCTCTTTGATGGTCTTAAGTCTGGACCAACTAGCAGAAAGACCTATTTGCATGTGTGTGTCTGTGCAAGAAGCGACTAGGAAGGCAGAGGATCTCAGGGCCAAGCTGCTGGACAGCCTGAGCATCTAAAGTCAGCTGTTGGAGGGATCCATGGTGTATGCGCATGCCAGTGTGCACGAGGAGGTCTGAGGACCAGCAACTGAAGTGGAGCTGTGGTCCTTCGTGCCGGTGTGCCCACTGGGAACACCTGCGCAGCCTCACTCCAGGCTCCACGTGGGGATACGGAGCTGCGGCAGCCTCCCTCTGGCAGGCTACGGGATTACTCATCTCCCAAGAAAAAAACAATGTTCCCAACCCTCATGGTCTTTCAAAGGCGTAATTCTTTTCCACTTATGCATATATATGCAAATATATTTCCATGCATACGCCAAATATTTTTGTTTGATCAATGCTTCTCATGAATATAAGCAAATTACATTAATATAAAAATAGCATTTAAGCACACAGTTTCTTCTCTAAAAAAAGACTATAGAGTCTACACTTCCTTCTGACTCCATTGAGTTTAATTTAACTTCTTTTTAAGGGCAGTTAAGCATAGCAACTAGAAATACACACAACCTCCAAACTTCATATATAAAGAAAACATCTCTGCCTCTCGCTAGAGAAGAACTGTGTCTCTTAAGAGTGATCTAACTATATCCAAAAATAATGACTGACTTGTTTTTTAAAATTTTATGTTCCTGTGAATGACACAAATTGAAAAGAAACTACTCCAAAACTCTAATTTAGAATAGGGTATTCAGCCGCCTCTAAAATATCAGTTGCTCTGATTTATGGTTCTAGCTCAAGTCAATTTATGAAATGCGTTTCCAGCTACATTTAAAATTTATTGCAATTAGATACAAAGCAAAAAAGCCCAGAGCTTTTTAGTGGAAGTGGCAAATCTTAGCAGTAGCATGATCAAAATCTGGTATTTCACTATAATATAATGACAGTTAGAAATGTTTTCCTAGTTTGTGCTCTACAGGTTCTGCAAGCAGTTAACACTCGTTTCCCTTCTCTTTTAGCTTAAAAGTTTCTTTTACTTTACAGGAATTAATCTCCAAACACATTTACAGCTAGCAAATATACCTTCCTCTCAGCCCCCCTGTAGGTTGGGCAAACCAAGCTCTCCTAGTCACTCACTCAGATCAGGTACTCATTCTCTATTTTGACAAAGGAGAGTTACAGAATACACTGAAGTCTCCCTACAACTTTCCTTCCAGAGACTTTTATAGACCTCTCAAGGACTTCTAAAATAACAGAAAGTTAGAGCATACCTCCTACCTCTAAACCCAGAGGGTCAGTCAATTTGCTAGGAGCTATCAAGTGCTACACCATATAACAACTAGCTAGAAGCATTGAAAACTACAACATACATTTCTAATTTTTTTCCATGTTTTAAAGACATAAGTATCAATACTTAATCAGAGCACCAAGTCCAAGAATCCAGGGCAAGACACTATTTCAATATATCCCTTCAAAAAAACCCACAAATGATTTAAAACGCTGTTTTATATAGAGGTGTTACAGATTCACTTTATCTCTTTTTAATGTATCAGTTATTAGGCAGCTTGTCCAAGATGGTCATGACCTTTTTAGTCTTTGCTCTATTTCTCCCCTTAAGCTGTTTTAAAAAAAAAAAAAACACTTTGCAAATGAAGTGCAATGGCCAATACATACACATTCTGTAGTCTTTTGCCCCTCTTGGAATGTAAAGTAATAATAATATTATAATAAAAAATCTATCGTTCTCCATTAAGACAGAACCTCTACTTCTACTCCTCTCTCAGATGCTTAGTTATCATTTTGAAAAAGGCACTGATTTTCTTAAAATGCTATGTGCAGTTTAAAAGGGTTCAGGGAAAGATCACAGCAGTACACTGCTTTCATAAATCAAGACAAAGATGCAGTATGAGAGTCTGTCTTCAGATGATCTTACATTAAAGAAACGATGGGAGCATTTACTCAATCACATGGAGGGAGTAACTGCAACTTTAGAAAGTGATTTGAAGTGGTCCTGACTGTAACTTCAGATAAAAGGCAGAAAGAAGGAAGAAGCTAGAACCAAGAAGTGGCAATTTTATTCATTTTCCTACTGTACACTACATCAAAAACCTCAGAACACAACTTAGCTGCCAGCAAAATATATTTGAATGCATAACCAAAGCACTGACTCTTCAGTTCTTCCACTCTAGACTCAGCCAGTGTAATGCCTGGGAAAACAGCTACATAACTATTTGTACTTTTAAAGGACTTTTAAAAAGGCAGTTAGCATATAAAGGCTGATTTTCCAACTATTTCCTCATCAAAAAAGCTTTGTGTTAAATATATTTCTGTCTCAAAAACTTATAATTATAATTATTAATAATTTCTGTAACTTTTTCATGAAGGAAAGATGCTTGCAGCCACTAATTTGTTTTTATTTTACTAAGGTGTTCTTCAACAATAATCTGAGCAGGTTTCAGCAACACAGACTGTACAATGTTGGCAGTTGCCGGTATGCTGCCTAGAGTTTCCACAACTTGAAAAATCAGTAAAAAGTCTAGCAAGGTTTTTATGAGCCATAAATAATTCACTTGTGGTCAGCAGTCATCACTGTTCATTTATTTTGCATTATGTTGATAATGACACCACAAGGAAGCAAGGCAATAGATCTACAGATCCTCTCTTTTATGTATTTTCTTGCACTTTAAGGTAGTCACCTTGCTAGCTAACTCAATGTGATACATGGGACAACAGCCTCTGCACGCCTCCCTCCAAAAATCTCATCTTTCTATGAAGGAAACCCTCAAAACGTTTTCTAACAAAGGCAGAAGAAAGGAAGAAAAGAGGTAACAGGAACAACACAACAGAACAGAAAGCAGCTTTCACAAAGCAAGAAGTTTGGGAAATACTTTTTAAATTCTAATATGGAAGTCCTGGAGGACTTACGAGATACAAATAAAAATGTTAGCTATCAATTTTAAGAGTTAATTTCTGATGATTTAGCAATTCTGGTAGTTCACTACCTCACCGATACTTGAGAGCGGTGAATATGGTGCTCTGTTCAGCTAGAACTGAACAATTCTGACACAGGCACCCACAGAGCAGCCAAACGTGCGGGAGAGAACTTCAGATCAGTTTCTCCTACCTATTCTTTACTACTAAAGACATACCTTAGGAAGGTATTCAGATAGGAAGGTTCAGATTCTCTGATGTATACAGTGGCTACTGTAGAAGTGGCTGAGAGAGGCACCTACACTCAAATGATCTGCAAAGGACTGAAATATATCTTCTTTCAACCACACAAGTATAAAAAATTCTTAGTTGATTTCAGATACATTGGTATAATTTTGAATAAACCAGACCCAGAAATATAAAAATTACTACAGCTTTTCTCACCTATCACTGTTTATATAGGAGGCTTTCAAATTCTTAAATCTCCCATGCAATTTCATGATGAAGCTTTAGCAATTTACTTTTAGTAAGTTATTCATAACAATTTCACTTCAAAGGAAACAATATTCTTCTTATATGCATAAGGCAGCATGTACAAGAACATCATATTTGAAACAAGATACATATCCTTTAGTCAAAGGTAAGGTTCTATCTTTTCACTAATCACTGCTGGTGCAGACCTATATTCACCCAGTGTTTTATTTTCAGTCTAAAAGAATACTATCCACTTAGTTAATTCAACATTATGTTTTCAAAAATAGTGCTAATTCTTATATTATATTCAAGTTATAAATACATAACCAATAAGATACATTGTAATCTTCCAAGAGTGCTTAATTTAGAAGATATGGGAACAACATTTTTAATAGAAAATTAACACTTATCAAAATTGCTAGCTTTAAATGTGTAAGAGTCATTTCCTCTATTTATCCAATATAGCAATATGCTACTTAATCATACAAGCGATACACAACACAGATATAGCCTTTGTCTAGATGCAGAAATATGTCCTCCTCTCGTACTCTCTTCATTAACATCCTTCAACGCTGTTTTTAGATGAGTGTCTTTGCATGAGTACCAACCCCTGCCTCTACCCCCAAAAGCGATCAGGTACATTTTGTTGATACTGACAAAATGTTCTGATAGTACACACAACCTAATAAGAACTACATAATCAAAGACATAAGAGGGCAACCTAACCTTCGCATTTAAGTTTTGCTATTACCAGACTTGGCCTGTTCTCCAAAATAATACAGAAATGAGCGCTATCTACAAAGTCACCATGTATCTTCTTAACTCTGCAAGTTGTGACGATTCTGCAGAAGCCATAGAGATTTCAGCAGACTAAAGTTTTCCCAAGGTTTGACCCACAGGTGCAATTTTCTGCATACTAAAGCCAATGCAGTTATCCCATAGTTGACTGGGAAG